ACAAGAGTGCAAACACAAAAAGTCAGGGGTCATTGGAGCCATCTTAGTGGCTGCCTACTATGCTTATATAAACAAAATCAAAATATCCAGAGATTAAACATGGATTTCTTACATAGTACTATTGGAATTATTAAATCATTTCCACATAGTAGCTATTCAATAAATAATTTGGGGTGTAACTTGCAATATTAATACAAAATTAAAATATAATTATTTTCATTTTGAGAAATGAATTATAATATTTAGTTGAAAATTATCATTAAATCCACTTAGTTCAAAAATGCCAGTACTTAGGAAAGAATTAAAGGAAATGTGAATTTCTACTGATTGGGCAAATTTTTAAAACTAATATTTCATTGAATACAAATCAGGGAAAAAAGTACTTAGCAAGAAAACTTTGTAATCCATTCCAAGATAATGACAGGGAAACAAAGACTATAATTGATAAGAACGCAAAACAAAAATAAAATAACACAAATAAACCAGAATCTTTACTTTCATTTGCCCTATTTTTAGATCAATATTACTAAGTTAAGGAAAATTGTTCTGCTTAATGCCATCAATTTTCTTTCCTTTCTAATTTGGCAGAGAAATTAACTTTAAGTATAATCTTTGCACTTAATTGCAAAGTAAAAAAAAAAAAAAAGTTAAAGAAAGTTTAAGAACAACTAGAACTAATCTTTAACCAAAGTTAAAATAGCAACTCAGTCATGTGGCTCAATAATTAATGAATGCAGTACATTTAAATAACTGTGTTATCTATTTCTTAATCATGAATTTAAACCAAATGACCTTGGATGCTATCATATCACATACTTAGAAAATTTAACTAAGTGAATTTAAACCAAATGACCTTGGATGCTATCATATCACATACTTAGAAAATTTAACTAAGTATGTCTTGTCTGAAAATTAAACATGCAGATTTAACATACTTTATTCCATATTCACATTTTTTTTAGTCATCTGAACTAAATCTTTTCTCACTGGAGCTTAATGGTACAAACCTTTGTTTAATTCTGTTGACTCGTTTTCAATAAATAGCCTTTAAAAATGTCCTAAAGAACCAGAAAAGAGTATGCTCTTTTGCAGAAGTTATTTCTTACATTTACCTTTTTAAACGAATAGCAGAAGTATTTTAAAGTGAAAACAGCATATTTTTTGCTTTTTGCTTGGTTCAGTAAAAGAAAATACACAACAAAATAGGAATTTCTCAAGAAGTACAACTTTATGATTTTGGGTTTCTTTTTTAAGAGAGTTATTTAAAAACATAACCTAGCTTGTTTTTAAATCAGCTTGGATTGAATCTTGGCAATTACATGGCACCACAGATGAAACATGGATAGAGAACCTTAGGGGACCAGTGGGGCTTATAAGAATCATTTTTATTTATCTATAAGAAGACAAAGACCAAGGGTATGTTAAAGTAAATCAAGCAGTGGGAAAAAAAAAAAAAGGCTATTATGACTTGATGACAAAGAGTCATTTTCTTGCTTGGATATTCAGATAACAGATTATGAGGTCCCATGAAAACAGGATTCATGAATCAAAGCTTCTCAGTTTAACTGTAGTCACTGAGCTGTTTGGATTTAGTAGATTCTGAGATATATTGCTATACATCTCTCCAATATTTTATTGCTAGAGATATACAGAAATTCAAGTCTAGTCCAAGAATTTTAAAATCTGTGAAAAAAATCTCTGAATCTTTCATCAGTTTCCATTCTGATGAAATCTAAGAGTCTGCCTTGAAGATAGATTGGTGTACAAGTGCATGATCTCACAAATAGCAGTAGTGTTGATAGGAAGTAGAGCAGATCTGAAAACTTCTTTAAAAGACATCTCATCTCTGGGCAGGAGGGTTACGTTCAGAAGGGTGATTTAAAGGAAGGTTTCTGGGCCAGAGCTCAGACAGATCATTTAAAAAAATTATAATAAGCAGCAGCAACCATATTTTGATCACCTACTATGGATAAGGCTGTATGCTCTGCTTAATAAAGAAATAAAATACATCATTTTTTACTTTCAAGATATTTAAACAGTATGTGGAAGGATGTCTCATTAGTAAGAATATTTAAAAGTGAAGTGAAGGACAGCGGGCATGTCACTAGACTGTGTGAGATTAAAGTTTGTGTAAGTCTACAAGCAGAGGGATTTCTGAAGTAAGGAAGGAGAGTTCTCTAAATAAAGAGGGGACAGACAGATAATGTTTATGCCAGTTTGATTGGAACAAAGAACTCTGAAGATGAGTAGGGCCAAGACTGCAAAGGTAGATTTAGGGGCCAATTGTATAAGATGTGAACAAAAAGTGAAGGGAAAGTCTTGTTAACTTTAGACTGGAGTTCTCAAAGGTGAGTATTTCAGAAAGATTAATAGGTTGTGAACTTCAGAACCAACTGCAAGCAGAGAAATAGAAGTGCAGAAAACAGGAGGTTACTGAAGTACCAAAAGAATCTGAAATTTTAAGAAGGAAATCATAGGAAATTGCTGATATTTGACCATTTTTGATCCATGTACATAGACATTTCATATGGTTCTATCTAATAAGGTGAAGGATCACTAAAATTTAATATCTAAAGAAAATATATGTAGGTAACTTGGAAAAAGATGTTACCACAAACAGAGATAAGAAAAATTAGGGCCAGGCACGATGGCTCACGCCTGTAATTCCAGCACTTTGGGAGGTCAAGGTGGGGAGAGGATCTCTGAAGTGTAGAAGTTTGAGATGAGCCTGGGTAACATACGAAGACCCCTGTCAAAAAAAAAAAAAAAAGAAAGATAGGAAGGAAGGAAGGAAGGAAGGAAGAAAGGAAGGAAGGAAGGAAGGAAGGAAGGGAGGGAGGAAGGAAGGAAGGAAGGAAGGAAGGAAGGAAGGAAGGAAGGAAGGAAGAAAATATTAGCCAGGCGTAGTTGTGTGTGCCTGTAGTCCCAGCTACTCAGGAGCCTGAGGTGGGAGGATTGCTTGAGCCTGGGAGGCAGAGGTTACAGTGAGCCAAGATTGCACCACTGCCCTCAAGCCTGAGCAACAGAGTGAGATCCTGTCTTCCCTGCCCCTCTTCCCCTCTCCCCCCAAAAAAGGAAAGGAAACAAAAGTTAGGGAAGGAAAGCCGAGTGGTAGATGAGACCAAGTTGAAGAGTTCAATTTTAAATATATTGTATTTTAAGAGACAAGTAGAAATGTCTGTTAGTGGCTAAAGATGCAGGACTGGAGTTCAGGCAAAGTCAAGAATGAAAATGTGGACTTGCAAATTCACCCTACAGGAAGGAGCCTGTGAAGTCAGGAGAAGGAACAGGATCTCTGAGTAAGGGAGAATGGGGTGAGAAAATAATAAGCCAAAATTGAAAAATGGGATCTAATTAAACTAAAGAGCTTCTGCACAGCAAAAGAAACTACCATCACAGTCAACAGGCAACCTACAGAATGGGAGAAAATTTTTGCAATCTATTCATCTGACAAAGGGCTAACATCCAGAACCTACAAAGAACTCAAACAAATTTACAAGAAAAAAACAAACAACCCCATCAAAAAGTGGGCAAAGGATATGAACAGACACTTCTCAAAAGAAGACATTTATGTAGCCAGCATGACATTTGGCTGACATTTATGCAGACACATGAAAAAATGCTCATCATCACTGGCCATCAGAGAAATGCAAATCAAAACCACAATGAGATACCATCTCACACCAGTTAGAATGACAATCACTAAAAAATCAAGAAACAACAGGTGCTGGAGAGGATATGGAGAAATAGGAACACTTTTACACTGTTGGTGGGATTGTAAACTAGTTCAACCATTGTGGAAAACAGTGTGGTGATTCCTCAAGGATCTAGAACTAGAAATACAATTTGACTCAGCCATCTCATTACTGGGTATATACCCAAAGGATTATAAATCATGCTGCTATAAAGACACATGCACATGTATGTTTATTGTGGCACTATTCACAATAGCAAAGACTTGGAATCAACCCAAATGTCCATCAGTGACAGACTGGATTAAGAAAATATGGCACATATACACCATGGAATACTATGTAGCCATAAAAAAGGATGAGTTTGTGTCCTTTGTAGGGATATGGATGCAACTGGAAACCATCATTCTCAGCAAACTATCGCAAGAACAGAAAACCAAACACCGCATGTTCTCACTCATAGGTGGGAATTGAACAATGAGATCACTTGGACACAGGAAGGGGAACATCACATACTGGGGCTTATTGTGGGGAGCGGGGAGTGGGGAGGGATAGCATTAGGAGATATACCTAATGTAAATGACGAGTTAATGGGTGCAGCACACCAACATGGCACATGTATACATATGTAACAAATCTGCACTTGTTGTGCACATGTACCCTAGAACTTGAAGTATTAAAAAAGAAAAAAAAGATCAATGGAACTCATTTAAAAGTGAGGGGGCAGACGGTGTAGTCTCAGGAAATGGAAGAGGAAATGGAGTAATTCAGTGGCTACACATAGTGTGGAGTGAACACCAGCCATTGGACTGAATGATCGGGAGATGATTCATAATCTGGAGAAGCCAGTTCAGTGGTACAGAGAGGGTGAAGCCAGACTGTTTAGGAAAAAGGAGGCCATGGATAAAGATTTTCGTGGCTTTCTTCATAGAAGAAGAGGACAATACTGTGCTCTAAGTTTGTCCAGTTAATAGAAGTAAAGTGCAGTGCACTTCATGACTTCCATTCCCAAAGAAGGATGAGGGATTATCTCTTTAGTTTTGTGCATGTTTAGACTTCTCCATGACACCCAAAGTCTTTTCCCTTATATTCCCTTACATTCCCTTAGAATGTAAATATATAAAACTGTCTTAAAGAGGTTTCAACTACAATTAAGAATAAGAGCCATGTTTATCATTTTGGTGTTCACTGTGTTCCTGTGAATTCCCACCCTAACCTGAGCTGCCAGGCTTGATGCGTTCACACCCACACACAGGGCCTGTGGGGCGGTTTGCATGGGGTGAGACTGCCAGCGACCTTGATCAACGGTGGAGATAAGTCAGCTAGGGGCTGGCACATGCAGCTGTGGCCTGCAGGGAGCTCCTTCTTGTTCCAGGTTTTTCTTTAACCAGAGCAGCAGAACTTTAGTCAAATGCCATCCATTGCAGTAACTGATAGCTTAAAAAAAAATGGTAATTGTTAGCTTAAAAAAAACTTTCATAAATCTGGAGAGGAGAAAAGGAAACTTTATTTTTTATAAAGGATTACAATCTGTAAGGTGGCCATTCTGCAGGCTGGTAAGTGTGTCTCCAGAGGAAACTAGAGTATAGGCATTTTGACTAAACATATTTAAACGGTCATCAAATGAGTTATGAATATTTATGAATGTGGCCTTGACACACGTTTATTGAATAAATATGTAACATATGACCTATGTTTTCTTTGGGATGGAGACCTATTATCTAAATGTGTTATAATTGGGTTCTAGATATTAAAAGGCCTTTTTAGGACACGAAGGCACACAAGTGTGTAATCTCTGTAAACCAGCCAGAACTAGTCTACAGTTGCTGCATTTGTTATTAGGAGAAAGTTATTGAAATGAGTCTCTTGTGTAATTAAAACTGTAGTTACAGCTAATAGAACAGGGGTTTAGTTAGTATCTTGAGGAGCTATAAATTGCTTAAAATTGCTTATTTTGAGGCTAATGTTTAGTTATTAGAGAAAAAGAAAATTTTTGGCAGTTAGAACATAGTTTATTTTTTAAGTGTAGGGAATATATGACTTAATCCTTGCCTAGCCTGGCCTTAAGTTTTGTCTATAATTTAGTATTTTATTGTCACAAAGAGTCTGTTTTGTTAGTTTATGATTTTCATTTTAACACTAATGTTGGTTGTGTCTAAACTATAAAGGGAAAGGGGTACAACAAGGCTTGTCTGATCTCTTATCTCATTATGGTTGGGAACTACGTTTTAAGGTTTGGGGGCGTCTATTTGGCCAAGGGGTATCTGTTTAATTGATTGGGGGCTCAGGATTTTATTTTAAGTTTACACTACCATGACTCAATAAATGGTCTTATTAATTCCAATTTATACAATTTCTTTTGAAGTCATTCTCATATTTTTGTTTCCATGGTTGTTATTTCCATTTTTATCTTATATATATATTTTTTATTGGGTTGAGTTGTTGAAAACTACTTTGAGAAGATTCATCACAGGAGAAACTACATCAGCACCATGTGAAAATTACAAATAAAACTTACTGTAATCTGAAGAATGTAATAAGAAGACATTTTTTATGAGAGAAAAGTTAATCAGATCACATTCACATTGTCATATTCAACTGCACATTGAATCTTGATTTGAGTAATTGAAATATTTCAGAGATTATAATGCTAAAGAACATTTTCTTAAATTATTTTCTTCTTAACTTTGATATGGTTACATTTGTAGCTGTAGTATTGAACTAGACTTTTAATTTAGACTCAAATTAAACTTTAATATTGCATTAGTAGAGAAGTTTTCTCTAGCAGACAGCATACAGAAATAGGATTCTATATACTTTTGCTATCTTATGTGTAATGCCCATTGTTAAACCTATACACTAGATGTCTATACACCCTGCCTGCTGTGATGTACACTGTCAGGGAAGTGTCTTAGGAAAAGCATGCACCAGAGCTGGGAGGAGTGGAAGAAAGACAGAAGAACATTCTACTAAGTGCTTATATTAATTCCTTTTTATTTTTTTAGACGGAGTCTCTCTCGCCAGGCTGGAGTGCAGTGGCACGATCCTGGCTCACTGCAACCTCCAACTCCCCAGTTCAAGTGATTCTCCTGCCTCAGCCTCCCGAGTAGCTAGGATTACAGGCACGCACTGCCACGCCCAGCTAATTTTTGTATTTTTAGTAGAGACGGGGTTTCACCATGTTGGCCAGGATGGTCTCGATCCCCTGACCTTGTGATCTACTTGCCTTGGCCTCCCAAAGTGCTGGGATTACAGGCATGATTAATTGCATTTTTAAAGACAGTTTGTTTTCAAAGTTCTTTGTAGTTATTTCTGATTTTCCAGGAAGTTACTGCTAATCCCTCAATATTGCCAGCATTTCTTATTCCCAATAGGTTTATTCATTTGTTAGCTTCATTGATGAATGCAGAAAGTGCTGCATGAAGAACATAGATTGAACATTTTCTTCACATAAAAATGAAAGAATTAAGGACATGACATTTTACCATGAATAAAAGCGTTAGAGTCTACTGTTGTGAAGAGAAATAGGGAAGCAGAGTTCAGTTATGAAAAAATTGCCTCTGGTCCTAGAAGAATTAATCTGATGGCCTACCCAGGACACGTCAGTATACCCCAAAGTCACAGTAATATATATCCAGAAAAATGCAGTTTAAAATGAACAGAAAACGAACATAGTTTCTATACCTTTCAATAGCAGAATATATGGTCTCTAATCATAACTGTGCCATTCAGCCAGTAGAATCCACTGAGTGCCAGATGCTGTTCTGGGCACTGAGGATGTGGAAGTGGGAAGTCTCTGTTCTTATGGGATGTAACATATGTACCTCTATCGCTCCTGCTCTGTGCCAAGCTCTGTGCAAAGACTGTGGTATGGAGTGGCATGGTTTTTAGCCTTAACATGAAAGCCTCAGAAGAAGACAGACCCTTAAATCCTCAAATACAAACAACGATACAATGTACTAAGTAGAAAATCCCTTTGTCAGATAATAAGTTATTGGAGGGTGAGATTTATTATAGGAAGAGTACTGACTTAGGTAAAGCTAGTGAAAATGCTTTAGCTAAAAGCATGGATGCTCAGAAAATATACATGGCACAAGAAATTAAACTTAACTCTTTTTGTTGCCTCAGTCTGGGGGTTGACAAAGCCAAGAACAGTGGGTGGCAAGTACCCTTGCATAGTAAAATCCTTGTTAAAGCATCTATGCAGGACTTTAATTTATACTTCCCATTGGATAGTGTTGGTCCAGCCATTCTGAATCAATCCATTCTTTTATTTATTTGTTCTGTGTTTAAAGAAGCCCTTTAGAATAACGAATAGAGAACTTAGTTTTACAGCCCTTGATTGTAGAAATATTTTTCTGCTCATGGTGCAAATGTCAAGTAAATAGTGTCTTTTAACAGTATTGCTGTGACAATGATTAGTTTCACTTCATTGTTTTGTACATAACCAAGATGCTACTTATTGCCAGAAAAGAGGTTGGTAAACCATGTAGTCTACTCTTTATTACTAGGTCATGCTGTTTTGTTCATGTAGTCATTCACCAATCTCTTTAGCTGGGCATAAACGTCTCCCAGAGTTTTTGCAGTGTGTATCAAAGAGGAGGCCTAGCATCATAAAACTGTTTCTCCGACCTTTCCTTCAGCATACTTCAAACAATTCCTTTAAACCACGTTTGATGTATTATTTTGGTAAAGTTTCACAAACCAAATAAAAATACAACTATGCTAATTTTACAAAGGCATTCGTAGTCATTACTTAGTCCTCACAATTATTTTAGAAAACAAAACATGTGTCTTAGTTACAAGAAACAGCTGCCACCCAAAAAGGGGAGGTGCTGCTTTGAGCTCTTGGCATGAGATCAAGGTTTTCATTTTTTTTTCCCCAGCTTTCCTCATGGAATTAAAACAACAGGATGAAAAGTATTGTAAAATAAATATTTTTCATTACATTTGAAATTGATATACTAGTACAAATCCACAGACAAATGTTTATTTGGTCAGTGTTACCTTTGGTTTTTTATTTTGTACAAGGTGCTTTTGACTGGGATTGCTTCTAATGTACAATATCTGGTCTAGGTGAGGGATAGTCGAGTCTGCAAGGTTAAAGGAGAGCCATTCATAACCTAAGACAACTCAAAAAGTAGTCTTTGTACTCTCTAGAATGGAGGTTCTCAAGCTGTGGTTCATGTACCACTGAGGTTCCTTGACACTGTTCCAAAGGGTATGCAAGGTCAAAGCTATTTTCATAACAACACTAGGATGTTATTTGCCTCCTGCAATGTGTTGGCATTTGTACTGAGGGGGCAAAAGTAATGGAGGGCGAAACCCCTGGTGCCTTAGCATATATCAACACAGTGCAGCAAATTATACTAGTAGTCATTATATAGATATATATTTTCACCACAATCACATTTGCAGTTAAGAATATTATTAATGAAGCAGTATAAAATATTAATTTTGCTAAGTCTCAATGTTTCAGATTATTTATCATGTAGGGCAAATGTGAAGTATGCAGAAAGCATTTTGCTCCATACTAAACTATGAAGGGTGTCTTGAGAAAAAGTATTTGTGCAGTTCTTTGAGTTGCAAGCTTATTTCATGAAACATCATTTTTTTAATTGAAAGAATGACTGGCAGGGAAACTATGGTTATTCAGACTTGAATATTTTATAGATACTTTCTTGAAAATAAAGAAAATGAGACTATCACTTTATACAAAACAAGTGGCAGTATTTGTTGTCAACGATAGAATTTGAGATTTCAAAAAAAAATGGCATTTTGAAAAGCTTGTAAATAACAAATGTAATTGTTTGATGTTGAATAATGAAATGCGTTTTGTAATTGTTTGATGTTGAATAATGAAATTAGTTGCTCATTGCAACTAATCTTTAAGAGGCTACACCTTACTGCATTTTGGTGTTATATTGAAGATCATTTGCAATTAAGCTACTAAAATACTCTTACCTTTTCCAACTACAAATCTATTTGAGGCCTGATTTTCTTCATATGCTTTAACCCAACAACAGACCACAATAGATTGAATGTAGAAGCAAATGTAAAATTCAGCTGTCTTCTATTATACTAGACATTGAAATATTTGACAGAAATGTAAAATCATGCCAATTTTCTCACTGTTTTTTGTTTTGGAAAATACAGTTATTTTTCACGGAACATGTTACTTATGTTAACATTAATGGGTTATTTTTGTGATTTTTAAGGGAATAGATATATCTTTAAAATTTGTCATATTTAACTTCTAATATGGTATTAAAAAAAAAACTACATATACAAAAGATCTTTGAGGTCCTCTTTAAGAGCATGAAGAGGCCATGGGGCAAAAACATCAGAGAACTGCTGTTTTTTTGTTTTTTTTTTTTTTTTTTTAACAGTATTATGTGGGAACAACCAGGAGTAAAATTAAAAATGGAACAACACAAAACAAATAATGCAATGGAAAAAATTGGGAGGAATCATTGTCTGGTGACATGTCAAGTTTGTGTAAGTGACTGGAGCATTTACTAATACATCGTTTTGGCTTTTGTGAAGGGAATTTCTG